TATTTCTACAACAATTTAAAGTAACCATCTATAAAAGAATTAATCTTATTTTCCACTAATGTTTCTAGTTTTTGTTTAATTTAAAGGAACCGCGTGCACTATATGACGTCATTTTCCCACCATGTCTCAAGAGGAGATTGAATGACACTACGTGCGATATTGCTTGTGTTACATGACATCATTTTTTCCACCATATCTTTTTACTAAGTGTTTGTCTTAAGAGGAAATTAGATGATACCGCATGCATAATATTATGTTATTTTCCCGGGTCTGGGCAAAGTCAGAAAAGAATCGCATGCGCTACATGACGCATAATTTTTACAAAATTGGATTAAAATATATATTTACATAAAAATAATTCTAATGATATATTACATCTTTTACAACCATTAAAAGTAGCATGTATCAAAAGAATTATGATAATTTTTTTTTATTAATGCTTATATTTTTTTGTTTAATTAATGAAATTAATAAGTCTTTCTTGGTTGCCACATGCGCTAAATGGTACAAATTCTCTCGTCCCCCACACCGCAAAGCCATCTGGTTTCATCATATCCTAAAAACTCTCATTTGTTTTCTCGCTAATGTTCTCGAGAATGGGATGGTGCGCGTATCCTTCTCTCAGTTCACCTCAGAGACTTTCTTGAATTCGATCAAAACCACTTTTACCCACCTTGATCCAACCTTTTACAAACACATTTGAACTCATCAAATTTGCAATCCTTAAGTCGCACTCTCTGGTTAGCACAAATGGCGAGAACTAAGAACCTAGGCAAGAGTGGAGATGGAGATAGTTCCCAGAATCATCCATAACAATCCAATCCCATCCAAAATAAGAGACTTAGGCCAAGGTCCAAAAAGAAAGCAGTGAGCCAACAAAGAAGAAACCTAGAACACTGAAAATCAGAGAAAGTAAAGCCTCTGCCACTTCCCATGAAACTTCAAAACTTCCTGTAGTCCTTGAAGGATCAGAGACAGAGTCTGACCCAAGATTCACGGACAAGGATATTCAAAGGATCAGTAGTCAAGCTAGAGAAAGAGGCAAACGAAGAATCAAGAAACCTCTCAATCTACTCCTACTCCTCAAGGTAATCCTTCGAGTACCTCAATGCCTTCTAATATTTTCCATGGACAATTTCTAGAAGGAAACCTACATAGTGGGACTGATATGGGGAAGTATAAGGCTGACTTTGCTAACAGAAAATTTTGCCCAGTAATTTATTTGAACCTAGAAGAATTGAAGAATAATGGGAAAACTAAGTTGGACCTCACCAATCCAATGGAACATTATACAAAGTAGTTGAGTATGAATATGTCTTATAGTTCTGAAATTGTGAGGCATTTCTACTGCAATATGGAGATTAATGACACAAATGACTCAAATAGAGGGAATGTGGAAAGCTACTTGACTTTTGAGCTGAGAGGAAGGGATATTAAGGTGGATGCTGATATCATCAACACTTTCTTAGGAACACTTGAACATGAGGCTAAGAAAGAAATGATTTCGGCCAAAGCTTACAAAATTCTCAAGCAGAGTAGCACCTATCCTGGCCAATTGTTTTAGTCCGAGTGAGATGTGTGATTACTTCAGGTTTATTCACTACATCTACTCAAGATGCATGGTAAATGAGGGTCAAGGCTTCACTCACTTGAATCAAGAAGATTGCATATTGTTGGCTAGAATAGTGAGTGGAGAGAAAATCAATACTAGAGCACTGATTTATAATGAAATGAAATTTTTTTGCCTAAAGCAATCAGCATCAACTCCTATCCCATATCCCTAGCTCGTCTCCTACTTTCTCAGTATTCATGACGTCCAACATCTTGAGCCCGAAGACAAGGAAGAACAGATTCCCATGTTTGGTATAGCCCATCTGCACAGGATGCATGTTTGTCTCCCTCTCACTACTACACAAAGGACATTACCAAGAGAAAAAAGGAAAAGAAAGCAACCTCTTACAACTGAATCTCAGCCATAAGATAAGGCACAATCTTCAGTTGGGCCAGTACAATCCACAGCTCATCCTTCCTTGGTGCAACAATTCAAAATACGTTTGGTCAGAATTACAAGCATTTCAGGCAAGATTGTATGGCCTGGCCAAGGAGTTTGGGGAACTAACAAACCAAAAGCTTGGAAGCATCAATGACATCCTTACTCTCCATAGACAAGCTATGGTTGTTTTGGAGAAGAACATCAATGAAGGGTTTGATGCATTAGAGAGGCAGATGTTAGATCTCAGAACACTGGTGACTACTTACCTGTCTGTTGCTCCAGGACCAACCTTCACTTTTGATGAGTTCCTCTCTCACCCATCTTTAAAGCTACCTACTACAGAGCCCTCTACTCCTGCCTTTGAACCCTCAGAACCCCCTACTTCTACTCCTATCCCTACGTACCCGGGGGTAGAAGAAGAGTAGCACCGTAGCAGCTCTGACGACATTGATTGATTATTGAGTTTCTTTTTCAATTTATACATTGTGAACGCTTATTGTTTTTATGTTTTCTGTGTTTATACTTACAAAACTCTTAAATCAAGTTGCTATCAAGTTATAATCCTCAAGTCTCTCTCTCGTTTTTTTTAAAAAAAATCTGCAAGGTTTTGTTTTAGTATTGCATTCTTTTGTTTCGTTTAATTTCATCAAAAATGGGAAGAATGTTAGAATTCATGTATGATGATAAAGGTATTTCCAGATTTTGAAATCCTAGCAAAACCAAAACTAAGGTCTTTATCAGAATAGTTCTCGAGAACCACCTTTCTCTATAGGCCTCTCGGGAAGAACTGTCAAGGCTCTCTCCATGCCTTGATAGTTCCATGGTAGGAGCTTCATGATCTCTTGGTGGCTGTTTGAGGCCAGCCACCAAGACCTTCGGCCAACATCTCCTCTGCAACATCACTACCCTCTTTCTGCCACTGTACTTCCTCCTCATGATCCTTAGGATTGAGTTTTTCTTTCTTTTGAGTTCCAGCACTTCTACCTCCTCCCTTTCTAATATGCATCTGCATAGCCTTAACATTTCTCCTTAACCTTTTTATCAGGGAAAGGTATGCCTTCCACACAATCATCTTTCTCTCATCTACTGCAGCTCTATAGATGAAAGTGACATAATCTGGAGTTCTCTGAATTGCAGAACACATGTTGACATGAATTAAATTGCCAGAAGTGTACCAGATATTAACAACTACTTCTCTAGTCCGCCATAGTGCCAAACCACCTCCTCTTCCTCTGGGCTTCACATAGAATTCATCTTCCATACCACACATCCTAGTCTCTATTAGGAAGACTACTAAGGGTTTATTCTTGTTACACTCCTGTTGGTACAACTTGGAAAATACATCAAAACTGGTGCTTTGATTCCCCTTCCCTTATCGTACCTCTACAAGGGCAACTTGTTTACCTGATCATGCATCCATATTGCCTAACAGATGGCTAGTAGGAAATAGATTTTATACTGAAATTTGAATTTGAATTGGAATAATTCAAAAGAAACAAGCCTAAAAATGCATAACAAGAAGGATAACCATGCTTTGGAGTATACCAAAAAAAAAAAAAGAAGAAGAAAGAAAGAAAGGAAATGATGCAGAGGAAGTACTCATGGAAGTACAAGGGAGAATAAAAAGAGTGACAAATTCCTGAATGAATTAGTCCCTCTCAAGTATAGCGTTTATGTGAAATTTCTTCACAAAAAGTAGAATATGTTTCTAATAACCAATAATGTAATTGCCTACAAAATGTCAAATAGCAAAATTTGCTTAATCCTATATCCAGACCTAAACAAAAATTTTGCAGGAAACCAATTATTTTACTGAGTCACTCTTAACTAGGATGGTGCTCATGCTATGTATTGATATTTGACTATGTGCATGCTTGGTGGGGCATTTGAGGAGGCAAAAAATAGTTTGTAAATATGACAAGTGAGTTTGCAAATTTGGTAACTATTTATAACAATTTTTGACCAATTTAACTTATGCGTCAAATTTTTCTTTTTTAATCAGATTGCAAAAGCACCAAAACCTTACTTGTAACTTATGCAAAAACATCTTTTTAAAATTAAAAGATATTTTTACTCTTATATTTATGTTGTTCTTATACTTCTCTCTATATATTTATTGTACTTCCCAATCAATTTTTAGCTAAGTATTTTAAATATTTTCTTAAGTGAAAATAATTTTTTACAATTTTTATAATATTTTTAATTTTTAATATTATTTTTTATTTTATATTTACATAAATTGTGTAGAATATATCGTCCAATTACTTATGTAATATTATTTGGTTTAAAAATTTTCACACTACTATAATTTCTAATTTAAATATATTTTATTTATTAAATATAACTTTTTCCCACTATAATAATTTAAAATCATTATATTTAATACAAGTCATACCCATTTTGATCATTTTACAAACTAAATTTACTTATACAATTATAATTCAAACAACTTTTCTACTTTATAAGCCGATTTTTATAAAAACCAATTCAAGCATAAATCATATTACTCAATCTAACTTCGAATCTCACCTTTCTAAAAATCAGCTTGAAAATAAGTTGTTTTTTCTACTGCTAACCCAAGCAAACCCTATATATTAATTATCGACGAGATCATGCTGCTGAGATCCTCCGACAGCTGCTTTTTATTGTTAATTTTCGGATTATCTGTTTCCATTTTATATTTAAATATTCGGATTCAGATATTAGAATGTCTCAGATTAAGTAATTAGGACAGAATCCCTTGGATATAAAGAGATTTAAATAAACCTAGAGGCTAATGTCAATAAGTGTCCTGTTTACTCATTCACTTTGAATGTAGAACCCAGAGGCTATTGGCACTTTTAAGTCGGTTTTTCTCGACAATTATTAATCATGAAGAGAATATAAATTCATCATCAATGAATAGGCAATAAATTGTATCAAAATGATTAACCGAATTTCAAATAAAAACATATAAATTGCAATCATCTTGCCTTTTTAATGCCAGGGTTTTTAAGAAAAACCAAAATTATAGGCTCAAAGCTAATAAAAACTTCGCTCAAATTAAATTAATATACAAACCAAACCTGACTTGCTTAGTGAGAAAGCCATTAAGAAGGAGTAAATAAACATCTTACCTGATCAATCAATTACATCCAAGAATGAGATACCGATTAAAAAAAAAAATCCTTCAACAATCCATAGCCGTTCACCTACAGGCGTAGTTGTCCAAGCTCCTCAAACCTTTCTACCATGTCATTTCATTATTAATCTTCTATCTATTAGTGGAGAAGACTGAATCATAACACACATTCTGGCTGCTGAGAAAATTTGACAGCAGCGCATCTGCTCACATTTCGTATGGCCACCATAAGTGCACGTTACTTCCACTTGACAGTTCAATCAGATTATCCAATACTGTATCTATCCAAAGACCAAACTCCATATCATTGAGCAGAAGCAAAACGTCTAGATCAAACACAGAAAACTAACCACGTGTCAGAACCAGTCATATGAACTACATACATTTCGCAGAGATAATCCAAACTAATTATAGTCAAGAATTGTTGCAACACAGGAAAAAACCAAATATTAGTAGCCTTCCTTTACCAAAAAATAATGAATGGTAGTAAATGACGTGAAAAACTTTGATTAAGATGAGACTTCCCTCGTCATTACTTCTTCATTTTGTTCATAAATGCGTGCGAATAAGGACAGCTGTATAATTTTATTTCCAAAGGAAAGTAAATTAGAAGCATTTGTAAGAGAACAGGTTCGGAAAGGAACTCAGATTGTAAAGGATTTGCAAGCAGATTTTGCACAAGATTCTTTCTATGGTCACATCAATTCTCTCGTACCATAATTGACAGGAAAGTCATCCCGTGGCTTCACTACCTCCCTCATAATAAAGACCTGCACAATGTCAATAAGAGAAATCAGTCATATCCTCCTCCTTGCAATGCATGTATGAATTTGCACATGCTACAAACATACACAACTAGAGAGCCGATGCAGTTTAGTAGATATAAATACAAATGTACAAAACAAAATCTCGATAGGCTTATGATCTAGCAAGCTTTCCCGGGGGAACGTCAGGAAAATCTTCTCCGTTCAATGGCTCTGAATTGCAATTCATGCTTAACTTGCCTGAGTCATAGATAGGGAGCAGTTCATGAGATTGCTAAGCCTGAAATTTTGAGTAACATGGGTTGCTTGATGGAGTACTCCATTAAAGCGGTTTTCCCACCTCAACAACTGCTTTTTGGAGGAAGGCCATCGTTTAGTACCAGAGTTGGTGGCTTTAATAAGGGTGCTTTTATGAAGGCCATCAATAGAGGTATTTGAATGGTGGAAGACCAAGTGAAGATATACAAAGTGTAGGTGTTGAGACCTCGGTTTTCAAGGAGTCACCAATTAATGAGGACCAAGGTAGCATAGCATGCCAAAATCCACGTCAAATACTATGGATACAGTTTCAACTAGATTTTAAGGGAGAATAGTTCATCTTGCTTGGATGCCTATCACTCATTAATCCCATAATGCTGGTCTTGATTTAACACAGTATCACCGTCTCAAAATTGAGAGCATTTGATAATTTGTATCTCCAAAATACCTCACTTCCAATGAACCCCACTCGCAGGCCCCAAAACAGAAGAACGGAAAATTTTTTAGCTTTGCACATCACATATTTATAACTGACAAGTTCTGATTAGAGGATGAATATTTGACATCTTAGAAATGGTGTTCTATAGCATTTCATACAAAATAATTGGTTGATTTCATCATCTCATATATTCAAAATATACAATTTTGGTTTATAAATCACTTGTTGAACTCTTGGGATTCCGAAAGGCACAGTTCGAACTATCAGAGTATATCCTATTAAAAACTGAGTACAACGAATATTATCAATTCCACCATATTTGACAACAGGACTTACTTACTGCTCCTATGTTAAAATTTACAACAGAGTTGTATCTTAATTAGTCATTGATAACCCATTCACAAATCTTAAATTGCAGAGGTCATGAACAAGAATGCAGAATTATAAATCACCAATGGATAAGATATTAACCTCTCAATATGAAGAATATTAAAGGCACCTCTGGTTCATCAAAACGTCACACTTAGTTCTGAGCATTCTGCTTAAGAGAGAAGGATAGTGAAGGTCCAAAAGAAGATATTCATTCAACATGACCTCTCAGCGTCATTCAATCACTTCTGAGAATTAAGTCCTTGCTTTCCACTCGTCTCAGGCAATCCTGCTTGATGTTTCCGGTATTTTGGTTGTTGTCTCCAGTACTGAAGTAAAAGAGACCTCACTTTCTTAGAATGATACCTACTAAGAGTATATCCAAGAGACTCCATTCTTTTAACAAGAGCAACTGCATATTCCTTATCAGTTGGAGAAGAAAGAAGGCGCAAGAGGAGTTTGTTTTGAATATGTCTACCCAACTTGAAACCTTTGTCCAAAGCGTAATGAAAAACATCTACTGCTTTATCCAGCCTCCGTATATTACAAAGACACTTAATCAAGTGTCCACAACTTGGAGGATTGATATTGATGTTGAACTCATCAAGAACAGAAAAAATTATTAATGCTTCTTTTACTCTGTTTGCCTGACACAAGCCTATAAGTAAAATTGTATATGGAGCTAAACTGAAATCTTTGAACTTAAAGTCCAGTTCTAATAACCTCCGAATTGCTTTTTCCACTTGTCCTTCATTAAAATATCCCTCCAAAACCTTGGTTAAATCATCTACCCGACCACCAGGAAGGTTATTTAAATACTGCAGCCAAACACTGAAAGCCAGTGAAACCCTTTGCTTCCTGCATAACCAAGTCATAAGTGCTTTATAAACCGAACAACTAGGTTCACCTCCTTTTTCCAACATTTGTTCATAAAGCTTTAAGGCATCCACTTCTTTATCAGCCCTATAAAGCCCATCAATGAGCGTCCCATAAGTAACAGAATCTGGGGAGAGCCCCTTGAGCTTTAGGTGCTCAAAGAGTTTAAGTGCACGATCTACATTACCAGCCTTGCAATAAGCATTAATCAGAATGTTGTAAGTTGTTATGTCTGGAACAACCCCACTATCAATTAGCAATTGGTAGGCATTCAAAATTTGTCCTGATTCACACATTTGCTCCACAGTTTTCCGGAGTCCAATGCTGCCTACTGCCCTATTGCTACCTTGAGAAAGCCGAAGAAACAAAAGAGGACTTTTCCCAATCTCCATCTTGCAAAACATAAGGCGTGCCTCCTCAAGCTGGCCAGCCTTGCAAAGTCCACTTATAAGAGCATTGAAGGTAACAATGGAAGGTAAACATCCTAGCTTCTCCATCTGATTAAATATTTGCTGCGCCTCCTCAACTAGCCCATTCCTACACATGCCACAGATGAGAATGGAGTAAGTGCAAGCATTAGGAAATTCACCATGCTCAGAGATCTCAAGTTGAAGAGACAGAGCTCGATCAAGAAGACCAATATCACAGAATGCTTTGATTACTGCATTGTAACAGTAAGCATCAGGAGTAAGTCCACTCTGAACAATCTCATCTAATAACTTAACGGCTTCACCAACCCTACCTTCTTTTGACAACCCATGTATCATAATGGTATATAGGACAATATCAGGCATAATTCCCTCTTTCAACATTTTTGTATACCATGAAAATGCTTCACGATATCTCCTGGCCCTAAATAAGCCATCGATAATACAACTGTAATTATCAACTCCAAGAGAAAACCCGTCCCTCTCTAACAACTGCACCATGGCTAAGGCTTCGTCGAACCTCCCTAGCTTGCAAAACCCATCAAGTAAAACACTGTAAGTTATTAGATCAGGTTGAAACCAATTTCCTTTCACCTTGTTGAACAATCTATATGCATAATCTACTTTCTTTCCCTGACACAGACCAGAAAGAATAGAAGTAAATGCTGTCATGCTTGGCCGTATGTTACTGCGGTCCATGTCTTCAAGAATTTCAATAACTTCATCACTCCTTCCACATTTACAGAATCCATCAATCAACAAAGAGTAAGTATAATCATCAGGACAGCAATTTAACTTTATCATCAGATTATACAGCGCAAACACTAGCAAATACATCTCTTTCTGCAATAGAGGTTTAATAATTGTATTGTATGTATGGGCATCAAACTCACAATATAATTCTCTCATTTGACAGAACACTGTTATGGCGTTCTTCCAGCCTACCCAGTCTTACGTAAGTCCTCAACAAAATACGGTAAGCTTCTGAAGTTAACAAAACCCGGCTTGTTCGAAGTTGTTCAATAGCTTCTGCGTAGAGTGAAAACCAATTGTTTCTAGTGATTGTATCACAGATCAAGTTAAGTATTGGCCGACTTCTAAGCCCTTCAGCCTTCAATGCAAATAAAATGCAAAAACGGATGCCCAACCGCGAATCAGTCAGCTTTTGGGCAGCAGAGCTATCAATTCTAGAGAAGGGGTCTGCTTGATGCAAGTCATTTTCTGCACATGAATGAGTGAGCCATTTTGTTTCTCTCAAACTACTCTGATTTCGCCTGTGACAGACACTAAGTCCCCATGGGATTTCAAATATGTTCCTGAGCTTAGACAATGTAAGCATCAGGTCAGCATCCACAGTGACTTAAATGATCGAATAGGTTGGAAGCAAATCCAAGTAAATAGCCATTTGTTGTATAGCTGCAGGCCGTCCTGCCAACTGAAAATCACAAAGGCAGCAGTTTATCTGCATTTTTTTTTAATTGTCGTTCAGTCAGTTTTGTGTCAATATCATAGGAACAAATCCCCACTAACATACAAGTAATTATTGAGCCCTGACTCGACAAGAAACACCTCTTGATTCATATCTTCTACTTCTGTTGTTTATTAAATAAAAAGATGATATACAATTTGTCAGGATATCAAGGAACAATGTCAAAGACTCTCAACACCTTTTCTTTCACGTATTAAAATAGACATAGGGAAAGAAAGCCACTTGAGATTCTCAATCACAATGTAACTCGGTAATAAGAAAAAGGACCCCATTAACAGGATAGAGAAATAAAATTGACGACGAAGTATCACCAAAAATTTCAAAGAATTACCACTTCCGAGTTCTCTAACTCTCTGTGTCGTATTAATTCATTTTATCATCAAAAAGCAACTGACACTCCATTGTTCATTTTACAATTTGATAAATTGAAAATCTCTCATCTAATCATTATAGTCAACTGGAAAAGCTAACACTGCTCATGTAATTTTTATGGTCGCACAGAATAGTTATTTGACAACTTTAATGATTGATTAACCATAAAAGATCCGTCGAAGGCCTGTAGCTCAAAGGAAAACAGAAGTAGCCCTTCATTTCACTACATACAAACTCAAAGTGCCCCTTGGTTCCGTTTTGACCAGAGTATCTGAAGAAGAAGAAGGAAGACCTTAACGAGTTTGACCCAATGCTTTTAAAACTAAGGATTGAGTCACCGATTCAAGGTTTCTGAAGACGAACCGCATTCGTGATTAAATTAATTCCTTTCTAATTGTATATATTCTAACACATACAAGAGAGAGCAGAGGAGGGAGAGAAGAGAAGGGAGAGGCTTTCTCGGTATTCATTCTTTGCAAAATGTCAGGCGGCAAAAGAGGTTAAGCACCATTCGAAACCAGGGAGTCTTACAGCATTGGGGTGTTGGAGCTGAAGATACAGTTAAAAAAAAAAAGAAAAAGAAAAAGAAAGAACCGATCCAATTGGACAGAAGCACAAACCGGAGCAGTGGGCCCACTACGTTATCACCGGAGCATCGTACACAGCCTAGGCGCCAGAAAAAGAAGGCGGTGACGGCAAGTTTTCACGGCTGGAGGTAATCTGGGAATGGCGACGGGAAAGGCTCCCGGCGCTCCGATCTCCAAGGCAGAATGGTGCCAACTGGTGACGCTCATCTAGAAGAAGAACGGCAGAATGACTTATGAATTTCGGAGTAATATTAGATATTAGATAGATAACAGGTTGCTCTGTCTAGAGGGAAGCTCGCGGGAAGTAAGCGACGGAGGGAGAAGCGGAAGAACGGCGGGAGATGTCCTCAAACTGTCGTTGAAGCTATACTAGGGCTCATTCGAAACTGAGATCGCCGGCGTTCATGAGGTCCACATACCGGCCCAAGCCTATAGAATCATGCCCAACCCAGCCTGAAAAGACAACCCTGGGCTGGTGCAGAGTAATTTTGAAAATTTGTAATAAATTTTGCATTTAAATGATTGCATCAATTTGTATATAGAAAAAACATAATAATTGTCTCAACATGGAGCGAGCTAAGATTCAAATTATATTTCGAGAGAAGTATTTATATTTAGTATCTGATAGCGTTCGAATAGAATTATTTCAATAAGAGACTACATGTGCCCAGTTAAAAAAAAAATTGTCTTAATATGATGAAAATAGTTAATAAGATTTTATGGAAAGGATAAGAAAAGGCAAAAATGTACAACCCCAAATTCTATCTATAGGGATTAAAATGAAAATTTCTAGAGACTACAAATGAATGAAACCTCAGCTTGGTGTTGGGGTCATCATCTCTCTTTACTCTCAAAATGCTAACAAAATCAATTTATTCGGATTGAATTTCGGTGATCAGCACCTAATGTAAATTGTCTAGATTTATTTTCTTTTTATTTTCATTTTTCAGGAACAATATTGTAATAGGTATAAAATACAAATAAAAATAATTTCTTAAATTTTAGTTTCTCAAAATGACTTATTTTTTAAAATTAGTAGTTAAAAATTTTAAAACGTGTGTCTGTTGAAACTATCTTTAGATGGTATAGATCTTATGGTTATGATTATGCTGAACACTGAATTTGGCTCACACAGCCTACAAATTCTCTGCCTGTAAATGCCTCCACTTTGATTTCAAGCCTGTGCCTTTTTTACACTAAATTACGAAGGATGAATTGAGCACACAATTTCCTTTTGGGTTCATCGTGTTCCCTAATAAACACGTCGTATTGGTCTCACTCTTTGCCAAATACATGATACTGACAAGTGAAGCTCCTACCGCATTCTGTCTCCCCTCTAAATATCAACCAGTCTTAGTGAGTTAAGTATTGCTTATAATGGTATATAGATTAGCTGTGATTTACTATTTTTCCTTCTTCTCAGAATATAACGTTAGGATAAAACCATGCAAGAAAATCAAGATAAAGACATGTCAATAAGAATCTAATAGCAGAGTGGTCATAATAAGATGGGGAAGCTAGCATATGCTTTTGTTTGTTCGTTTTTTTTTAATAAACAAAATTTTAGGTGATTTGGGTCTTAAAGATTTACTAGGACTAAAACATATCTCCATGTTTAGAAATTGCTTACAGAAGTATCTATAAATCACTTATCACCAAGGTATTCATATTAGTAGTGGGATTCAAACCATAACCTTGTAAGATATGAGCTAACTTCTTATCAATTAGATCAACTCTTATTGTCATGTACTTTTGTTTGTTTATTGAAAGAATATGATCAAAAGTGACGATTTAGTGACGAATGTTAATTAGGCTTTATAATCTTCTTCTATTGTACCATTAGGAGGATGGTTTACAATTTTCCCCCCGAATAGCTACATAACGCGTTATATATGCAACGACTCATTTTGTTTATATATATATATATATATATGTGTGCGCGCATTTTTCTTTTTAAATGGAGGCAAACTTGATGGTGAATCAAAGGGTCTTGGTTCTTTATTCTCCTCTTGCGTTCATGAATCTAAAATTAATATCAGATAACATACATACATTCTAATATCAAGTGCATGTAAATTATAACGTTTGCCAAGTATTTATACCTCATTAATGTTTTTATAAACATGACCTTGTATTTTAACGATATTTTTATGCAAACTTTATATATGTGTGTGTATGTATACCTTGTCCCATCAAATGATCATATTTACACCCCGTTAATTCCCTCATTTCCAGCTTGTCTGTTCAACTTTCTTTGGTTCACTTGAAACCCAATTCTTTCTTTATTCTGAGAACTAATTGAGATGGAACATCTCACAATGTCTGCTCATGACAAAGAGGAGGATCCCCGAATCGAAGGCATCAAGTCTACGATTCACATCATCCGCGATTTCCCCAAACCCGGTTTGTTTTGTGGTTTCTCTTGTTACTTTAATGTTCATTTTGTTCGTTTTTTCTTTTGGTTGTGTAAATAATGGTTTGCAAACACAGGTGGTGAGTTTTTGGACGTCAATACTCTCTTGCTGAATCCAAAAGCATTCAAAGACGCCATCGACCTGTTCGTGGAACAATATAAAGGCAAACATATTTCTGTCGTTGCAGGTACTTCAGATGTTAAAGGGGTGTTTTCCTTTTCCTTTTCCTTATTTTTTTTTCCACCCTTTGTTTTTCCTTTGCATGCTTAGATTATTCGAAAGGGTGTTTTTAAAAGAATATAGCGTTAGCGAACACAAATAAGAAGAATAATCCATGCAACAAGACATGCACTAAGGGTGTTATTATCTGACTCTGAACACTGAGGCATATGTTCTGTTCGGTTTTTGGTTTGGTTTATTTCAAGTAGTTTTACAGAGGTAAATATGTGAAAATAATTTTACTTCGTAAAGCTTGAAAGTGATTTTTGAGGTGTTTCGTGGTGAAATTGCAGGAGTAGAAGCAAGGGGATTCATATTTGGGGCTCCTATAGCGCTGGGAATAGGAGCCAAGTTTGTGACTTTAAGGAAACCAAACAAGCTGCCAGGCAAAGTGATGAGGACAGAGTATTCTTTGGAGTACGGGAATGACTGTCTGGAAACTCAAGTCGGAGTAATTAATGATGGCGAGCTTGCTTTGCTTGTTGACGACGTCATTGCCACTGGTGGTACCCTTTGTGCAGCTATCAACTTATTAGGTAAATTGCACCATCATTTGGCTTGCCATGGATTTTTTTCAGATTTGTAGAAATATAATTTTATGGGCCATTTTTCTGCATGATGATGGTTGAGATATGTGTCTGGTGTTTTTGTTTCAGAACGTAATGGAGCACAAGTTGTTGAATGTGCTTGCGTGTTTGGGATACGACAATTAAAGGTTAAAAGTAATTTATATGACTGATTCTCATGATCGGTAAAAAGAATACTCTGAATTTAAATTTTGTTCTCACAGGGTCACCAGCGATTGAATGAGCTGGGGAAGCCCCTGTTTGTGCTGGTGGAGA